CCCCCCCCTCCTTGTTTCACCTTAAAAGAAGAGCGAAGAGTCTTGGAAGTCTTTTGCTTGCCAGTATGCGTTCCAGCGTAGTCTCGCCCTGGATATCTCTTTGGGCAGTTTTATGTTGGGAGTCATTTTTAGAAGGCTAAAATGCGGCTGTTGATCCCTCTCTAGTACTACTTATTCCTACTTGTGCGCCATAGATGACAAATGTTTCAGGCTCCCGTGGGTACACTTTGGATCATTTAGGGGCGCCGGGTGAATGAGATTTAGTACCCTTCACCTATCCCGTAGACTGGATGCCCGTCGGGGCGCTTTTGAAGATTTGGCCACCAGCTTCCTCCGCTCCTTCCGGTCTTCAGCTTTTCTGAGCGTGTCTTTGAGTCCCAGGCCTGTCTATTCCTTGATGTTGCCCTCCCAACTCTTCTTCGGTCTGCCTCTGCTCCTTTTTCCCTTGACGCTGCTTTGCAGGATCATCTTGCAAAGGAAGAGTGAACGGGTGATGTGTCCATACCTTTGCAGTTTGCGTTTTTTCTACCCAGAATTAGGTAAGCATTTGGTCCAATTTCATATTTGATTCGTTGTTTGACTTCATCAATTGTGATGTGATCTTTGTATGAGATACCAATGAAGCATCTCATCTCCACAGTTTTGGTCCCTCTTTCAAGGTCTGCATTCAAAAAGTCAGGATTCACATCCATACAAAAATACTGACATGACCAGGGAACCATCAGTCTGATTTTTTATTTGATTGTGATATTTCTGTCGTTCCAGATGGTTTTCAACTTAGTCATTCCTGCTGATGTTTGCGCTATTCTAGAGATTATTTCTGGTTTTGATCCTTGGTCAGTCACTATTGCACCCAGGTATTTGAAGCTGCGTACGGTCTCAGGCCTCTGGTTGTTGACCTGGATGTCCACTGTGATGTTCTTGTTGCTCTTAGACATCAGTCTGGTCTTCTTAGCACTGATTTCCGTTCTGTAGGCTATGGAGGTCTTTCCAAGACGGTCTATTAAGCTGACTAGTTCTCGCTCTTGTTCTGCAAGACCGTCTATGTCATCTGCAAAACGTAAGCTATTAGTCGTTCTGCCCCCAATACTGACTGTTCCTTCGTGATCTTCAAGTTCATCTGTCATGATCCTCTCCAAAAAAATGTTGAAAAGAGTGGGTGAGAGCAGACAACCCTGGTGTACTCCCACTGTTGTTCGGAACCATTCCCCAATGTTGTTGTTGAAAAAGACTGCGCTCGTAGCTTTGTTATATAGCTTTTCTATGACTTTGATCCGGTTGGCGTTAATGTTATATAAGTTCATGGTTGCCCACACCGCCTTCTGCCATACTCCGTCAAAAGCCTTTGTCACAGACTCTGGTTGCATGCAGAAAAGTGTGAAAGTCTACTTGATCCCTTCATTTCGAATTTACTTGACCTAATTCTCACATCCGTCATACGGGGTCTACATTCTCCATTTAATTTGTACCAGTTGTCTAGTAACAGGGGCGGCTACTGAGTTCTTGGGCCTATTTGAAAAAGCTGATATTTTGTGCAACTGCCTTTTCTAAGTCTGGGTTTCAGGCTGATGTGGATTCTAGCTGTCTGTCTGAATTCAAGTATACTAACATATTATTCCAATACATAGGAGGTGTTTCTTTTTTGTTTATAGTTATATCTAGGCCTAGGGCTCCTTTTTATATTTTTATATTATAGATTTTTTTTTTAATCTCTGATGTTTTCCTCCCTTAGTCTTTCTGTTTTGTTCGCAGAGATAAAGTGGCCTTAGCAAAGTTATGGGGTTTTGTTGTTTTTTCGTTCATTTTTTACATTCAGAATTAATTCTACCTGTCCGTCAGCTCATTTGTCTGGGGGTTATATCTCGTTTTCCACCTGAACTTGCAGACTGGGGACCAGAAATTTTTACAAATGTTGTGTTGATTTAGATTATGTTGCTCGTTGAACGTTTCTACTCTTTCTTTGACGCTCTTCCGTGAGAATAGCTTTTGCTCGTCGTGCTTTGCAGTATGGCGTCCCAATTGCTGGTGATGTTGATTTTTTTTTCTCCAACTACAGTCTTGCAGCTTTTCTTTCTGTTACAGAATCTTCGAGCAGTAAATTACAGAAAGGCTTTATTTATTTCTTGAAACATTTCTGCAAGATATGCAATAAATACTAAAATATTGTATATGTTTTAAGAATAGAAGTTCTTGATCGGTCGTTCAAACAACAAGTTGTGTCATTAGTCTCTACAAAATCAGATAATAAATCTAATAGATTTTAGTGGTTTCATTCTACACTCTAGGCGTACAGTCACCACTCAAGAGGGTTTTTTTTCTTTGCTTTTTTTCAGAGAGTCTTAAATGGAGTATATAACACTGAAAACGGATTACCGCGAATTTATAAAGTTCCTTAACAAATATGACAAATAGGTGTGTGAAAGAAGAAGGAAA